TAGATTATTATAATATATACAAAATAAAATATTCTTTGGTAGATAATTTTTATATTTTGTTCTTCTGAGCGCCTTTCTATAGAAAAAAAAGAATGGCATTTACATTTATCTGCAATATAAGTTAATTACTTTAAAGGTGGGTGGTGGCTGATTTTAAGTTTAAATTCTTTATGTAAGTCTTTATGATAAATATTGAGAAGGTTCATAGAATCTGAAATAAAGATCATTAAATATAATTATTATTTTTTGTTGATGATTTATACAATACAGTATTACCACTTATACTTCCAAATAATTAATTTTCCAATTACTTACGATATTCTAGAAACATTTCATAGGTAAATTCTTATGTTACTTTTTTAAATAAAAATTATGGTAAAAATTTGAAAAAATATTCACTTAAACTATTTTTTTTTCTTAATACATAAATGAGGTATTTATGTTTTTTAAAAACTTCATAATTAATAATTATACCACTTAATAGTTTTTGTTTTTATTATATCACCAAATAAAACACATGCAAGTGCAACCCTGTATAATAAACATCTTGTTGGTATAAAGTGTATCGCTATATTATATTAAATTGTTATAATGTTAACAATTCTGATAAAAGCTTTAAAAAAATATATTAAAAATTCTAGACTAAATTTAAATCACGATCTTCCCCATTTTCAATAATTCATTCGTTCTTTGGCCCGGCCCGAACGGGCATGGGGTCGGGCTTGGGCCTAATTCTATTTAAAAGAGTCGGGTTTGGGCCGGGCCTAATATTTTCAAAAAAAAAAATCGGGCGGGTCTGTATCAATTTTATATTGAATTTTTTATGTAAAATAAAAATATTTGATTTTATATATTGAAATAAGTAATTATAAAAATGACTTTGTATATTTAAATAATTCGGGCCGGGCCGGGTCGGCGAAACTTTTTCAAAAACATTTCGGTTCGGGCCGAGACGGCAAAACTTTTTAAAAAAAATTTCAGGCCAGGCTTAAAAAATTAGGCCCGATGCAGATCACTATCAAGTAGGGGTGGGACCAATACCAATATAATATTGGTTTACAATACCAATACCAATATAAACCAATATATAATTAAATATTGGTATTGTTTTTACAACCAATACCAATACCAATTACCTAAATATATTGGTTTTGAAATATTGTTTAAATACAATTTTAACCAATACCATTATTAAAAATTTAAAATAGATAAATACATAAAATTATTTGGTTTTATCGTGGATAATTATATCGTGGTATATTTTTTTACTTTCATTCATAAACATATTACATCTGTTATTTCTTCCAAATATTCCTGTGATATCAATATTGGTGTTATTTATAATTATAGTTTATTATTATGGAAGTAAGTTTTTTATATGATATCTATCAATTTTATCTATTTATTCATTTAGGATATTATAATGAATGAAAACCAAATCGAGTTAATAAATATAGATAATGATGTTGATACTAATAATAATAGCGATAATGAACTAGATGAATCAACGATATCTAATAAAAGACGAAATACAGCAAAAATCTGGGAATTTTATACCAGTTGTGATAACAAAAAAAGGCTATTTGTAATAAATGTAAAAAAAAATTATCTATTCCCAATTTTGGAACCTCAGGATTATGGACACATCTTAAATCCATCCACCCAACTTTATATAAGAAATGTGAACAAATAAATAATGGCAGTAATAAAATTAACACCATAAAATCATTTTTAATTAATAATGTAAATAATAATGTAAATAATAAAGCTAATTTAAATAATTTAATTATGCAATTTTTTATTCAAAATAATTTAGCCTTTTCAATTGTTGAAAATGAGGCATTTAAAAATTTAATAAGCTTTTGCAACCCCTCATTAACATTAATTTCTAGAAAAACACTTAAAAAAGAAATTATGAAACATTATCATAGTTCTTTTATCAATTTAAAATCTGTACTTTCTAAAATTACTTCTAAATTTTCTTTAACAATGGACATTTGGTCCTCTCCAAATAAAATACCCTTTATGGGCATAACCATTCATTATATTGATAATGATTTTAAATTAATTAATCATTTATTAGATTTTATTCCTTTTAAATCAGCACATAATGCTATTAATATTTATAATATTTTTAATTCTGTATTAAAAGTAAAATTTGAAATTGATTTTTTTTGTATTACATTAGATAATGCTAGTAATAATTTAGCATTTTTAAAAATTTTAAAGCTAAAAGACAATTTTGATAATGTATGCAAATGTTTTTGCCATATTATCCATTTGTCTGTCATGGCTGCATTGGAACCTCTAAATCCAACTTTAAAAAAAATAAGAAATTTTTTAAAAATTTTTAAACTTTCTATATCTAAATTTAATAAACTTGAAAAAATATATCTTGAAAAAATATATCTTGAAAAAAATCCAAATTTAAAATTTCCTCACCCTATTTTGGATATACCAACACGTTGGAATTCAACGTACCAAATGCTCGAAAGGGCTATATTGCTCAAACCTTATCTCACAATATATACCAATCATCAACAAAATACTAATGAAGAATATTATATTAGTGCCTTAGCTTGGAATAATATTGAAATATACCGAGAATTTTTAGAACCATTTAATTTTGCTACAGAGATGGCCTCATGTGCTAATACTCCATCAGTTTCAACAATCATTCCTTTATATTCCAGTATTTTTGAGCACGTTGAGAGTTATAATAATAATCCTAATGCTATTTTAAAGACAGCTTCATTAGCTGCCTTGACAAAACTTAATAAATACTATAATTTTAATAAACACCTATATATTATTTCAACAATGATTGACCCAAGATTTAAACTATCAAGTCATTTATTAAAGCATAATAATATGGAAACTCTTATTGGTTATCTTACTAATGAATACAATATTTATAAAATAAATAATAACAATTCAGCGGAACTTACAAATGAAGCACAAAATAATAAAAAATTGTCCTTTTATGACAAAATTTATCAGGTGAAACCTCATGATAATAACAACTTAGAAATAAGTAAATACGTAGATGAAGTCACAATTTCCAATGATACAAATCCATTAGATTGGTGGAAATTAAATAAAAATAGATATCCAGTATTATCGAAAATTGCCAGAGATTATCTAGCAATTCCGGCCACCTCATCTAGCTCTGAAAGGGCTTTTTCAGAAGGACGGTATGTTATAACAGACCAACGTTGTTCATTAGATGAGCATACTATACAAGCTTGCCTGTGCCTAAAAAGTTGGATGCGCATGCAAGATTCTTCTTAAATACATAAAATTATTTCCTCTTCTTATATTAAAATTATATCATTCTTTTGCATTATATTTTGTATAAATAGACAGTTATGTTACATTTTTAGTTTACTTATTTTGCTATCTTCTTTGTGATAAATAAAATGGTTCAAAATCAATACGTTTATTATTGTTGATACAAAAAATACATGATTAAATTAAAAAATTTTATATTCACATCACCTAATAAATTCCTAGTTTAAAAAAAGAATCTGAATTCAGTAAAATTTTGAGAGTTGGTTCTTAGCCCTGATTTTATGGTATCATTATTTTTTTCCCATGTTTATTTAAAATTAGAAATTAAGGGTTTTATAATCACTATTTCTATTCTTTAAATTAATAATTTGAATTTAAACCAATACCAATATAAACCAATACCAATAGCAATACCAATACAAGAAATAGAAAATATTGTTTAAACCAATACCAATATTTTAGACCCAATACCAATACAATATTTTGTTAATATTGGGTTTTTACTATTGGTTCCCAGCCCTACTATCAAGTATATTATATTTCGTATAACGACTCAAGTTGGAAATCTAAAGTTAAAAATAAAAAAATGTTTTATAAATAATAACTAATTTAAAATCTTCGTCCTTTAGTATACTCAAGTTCATAGAACTATTCGTACACTAGTCGACACCTCAAGTTCATAAAACTATTCGTCCTCTTGTCGATGACTCAAGTTCATAGAACTTATCGTCCTCTAGTCGACGCCTCAAGTTCATAAAACTATTCGTCCTCTAGCCTCTAGTAGACTTTCATAAAACTATTCGTCCTCTAGTCGACTAAGTTTATAAAACTATTCGTCCTCTAGTCGACTAAGTTTATAAAACTATTCGTCCTCTAGTCGACTAAGTTTATAAAACTATTTGTCCTCTAGTCAACTAAGTTTATAAAACTATTCGTCCTCTAGTCGACTCAAGTTGAAAGACTTGAGTTCACAACTCGGGTTAGTTTTGGGTTGATTTTTTCGACCCAAAACTTGACTCCAGTTTTCGGGTCGACTAGACTTAGTCGATTAACAACACTACATAGGAGTATAATAAAAATTGTATCTGTATCTAGATCCATTTAAAAAGTAGCTTTTAAAAACTCTGGTTACTAAAAATATATTGGAATGGGAAAATTAGAATGGGGATGGACATGGATCAGTTCTGCTTAAAGCACCGTAATTAGAACAAGTCCTGCCTTAAAAAGTGATAGGGTTGGATCTATAATCCAAAGAAGAGAGAAGGGAATGATGCACAAGTAATAGTCAGAGAATTATCTTCAATAATGAAGTTAGAAGAAATAAGAATTGCTCTTTTTTTGTAAAACCAAGGTTTAAAGATGAAAATTTGAATTTAATTGAAAAACAATTTGACAATTAATTTTGCAATATAACAAATGTATGATGCAACTAAGGTCACTATATATATATAATTTTGAATCAATAAGGGTTAAAAGGTCTACATTTTGATAAAACTTTTGATAAAAAGTCTAGCCCACAATACTACTTAATGTTAGCCTTTTTCTAATTGCCACATTTATAAAATCTTGAAGTATAAGATAGTCAGATTTAAAAATTTATTGTTGTGTAAACTTTTAAAAAAGGAAAGAACTACAAGTTTAACAATGTCATAAATCAATATAAAACTTATTTTAAATAGAATATTGGTATTTTACAATATTTTATTTACCGTATGGCACTTTGGTGAGATTTGATATTCCCTTTACCAGATATATTTTGAGGCAATACTATTTGATTTTCAGGCCCATCAATTTCAATCTCACTTTCAGACACTTGATCTCTGGAATAAGTTTAAAATAAATTATTATGTTTTTCGAAACCTTGTAACATAATCATGGATATCATTGAAATCTGACATGTTGGGCACTTTTTTACCTTTCACAATTTTAGTCAACCCTTTATTTATACCACATGGATTAACTTTAATAGCATAGTGCCTTATGTCAATTACATCATTTTTTGTATCATACCTAATTAAAAGGCATCTTTTGATTTTATTCAAATTAACCTAATTATTAGATCTAGAATTATTTAAAATATTATAAAACTTTTATAATGTCAATTGATGGAATCATATTTTGAAATGTATTTGATAATATTTTATGATGCATATCCAACTTATTAAACCCACTCATAATTAAAAGTGGATGATCAGAAAATAAAGCTTTATTTCTATAATTAAGTCTAGATAAATATTTTAATAAAATACTTTATTGGCTTTCTGATTAATTGATCCACTTCTCTAGCTAAGGTTGCACCTATCAATTTAAAAAATAATGTTGGACCATGGGGAACCCGACAAATTCTCATATTGTAGGCAGTTTCTGTCATAGAAAAGCTAATTATATGATGAATATGAAATGTGCCAGCTATGCTTACAAAATCTTTAAATGTATTTGATGATCTAACCTAACATAATGGTATAAATTCATAGATACATGGATAATCACTTTTAATTTCGAAGATGTATATGGCTCAAATATACTACGAGTATTTTTAATTAATTCCATTAGCCTACTGGGCAGATGGCCTCGATTAATTATAAGAACATGTGGGGCGTGAATTACATTCTCTTCTTCTATATATGTACCTCCTTCAGAATTTTGAGCATTCTTAGCGCATTTACCCTATGTTTCTTATGTTTAACTTTCTTTCTATATTATTATACCTTTTTCCTCTTTTTCCCCATATTTATTTATGAATGAGTGAATAATAGTGTATAAGTATTATACGCAAACAGTAGATTTTCCCTAATGCATTTATTAAGATAAAACGCTCAAACAGAGCATTAGTTTAGCAATTTCCTAAACAACAATGTATATTAAAGAGACGGAAACACATGTTAGGTTCTAAAATTTTTAAAAAACAGTTAAATTGAAATTTTAACAAAAGTTTTTTTCCTGAAATTTTGAATTTACTTATAAATTAATGAAAACCTTTGGGTCTAATGCACTGCCATTATATTTAACTCAAAGATGTACTAATGTAAACCATAAGAATTTTATTTATAAATTATATAGATAGAAAAAGAATATTATTGGGCTTTTATTATTTAACAATTTTTTAAAATGGAAATATTCGTGAGAAAACTCTATAACCCCAATCATTAAGCATATAAAAATCTAAAGTATAGAATAATTAGGCAAAAGGCTATTTTAAATACTTAAAAATATTATAAATTTCATGAAGTGTTGATTTTCACTAACTCATCATCCTATATCTAGTATTATGAATAGTTCTATAAAAGCTATTTTAACCATAAAATTTATTTGTTTTAAAGTTTTTGGCCACTAGTTTACCTTAACTATATTAAAATTTGATAACTAACTTTTTTTATGTAAATTTTTCCATTACTAATTATAGCTAATTAGAAAGCAAATTATAAAATAATAATAAGATCGTATCATCTCCCAGTGATTCAAATCCCTGAGTAAATTAAAATATTTTAATAGAATTGCACCACTGATAGGTATTTGATCCCTCGCTGATATATCTGAATATCACTAATTTATATTTTCAATTTTACATAATAAATATAATAATAATCACATTTTTACATAATTAAATTCAAAGATTTTTTTGAATTTTTATACATTTCTTTATCCACTTTTCATAATCATAAAAAAATATACTAAAATAATATATTCTCAATATATTCTATAATATTTGTTAAAGTTGGCTAAGAGTTAGACAAGAAGGTTTTTTTATTTATTAAATTTATTTAAAAAATATTTAACTAAAAATACAATATAGTATTGTTCTTTATATAGTATATAAAATCAATTTATATATAAAAAAAAATCTATTAAATAATTTATATAAAACTATTGAGTGAGGTTAATATCAATTTAATATAAAGAAAATTATATCATTAAGTTAACTTATACATTAAAAATTAAATTTTTACCATTCTAAATGAATTAATATTATTTTAATCACTTAAACTTCTTAATCTCCATTTTGAACAAATTGGACGAGTTGGACGAAAAATACGATGAAGTGTCTTATCAAAGGCATCCCCCCCCCCCAAAGTTAACAGTTGTGTTAATAAAATGAATGCGACATATAACAATTTGTGCTATACAACAACCAGTATAAATAAAATAATTATATATATAGATCCATGTTTAACATTCCACCCTCTAAAGGAACCCCGTCTAGGTTCTCTTTGTATGTAAATCTTTTGGGTTCTGATTATTGAAAGGAATATATGGAGTTTCTCATCTATTTTGATCATGAAATCTGTCATAGTTTCGTCTTGGAAAATGATAGTTATTTTGGTTGTTAAATCTTTGGTTGTCATAATATGGTCGAATCTGCCATGGTTGTCCTAATTGATGTGTCTGTTGCTCTCAGTATATGGCATCATCTGGGTATTGTCATATCTAGTATAGTCGGTTTTTGTTCGTAAACTTTCTTTCCAAATCTTTGAAAAATGGTTTAGTTGTTCATATGATTTGACTTTGTCATCCTTCTGTTAATTATTATCATTGTTTGTTATTAAATATATATGCGAAGATTTTGAATGATTTTAGAATCTAGGTATTATTGAATAACGTCGTAATAAAATAATAATCGTCGAGTAATCGAAATAGAATTAATTTAACGAATATCGAATTTGATTAAGAATAATTGAAGCAGAATAAATTTTTCAAATATTGAATAATTGAAATAATAAATAATTGTTTGCGTTTTATTTTTATATTATTTACATTGCGTTTTAAATAATAGCGTTTTACGTTTCTCAATTTCGCGTTTTATAAATAGTTTCATAATGTATTATTTTTTTTTAAATATTATATGTATTTTTTAATAAAAGATGATATGTAAGTCTGTACATCCATCTCCCTCTTTAGAGATTTAAACTTTGTGCCTTTATTTTTTAAAGCAAATAATAACTCAAAATTACTGTTTTCTTTTATCTTCATAAAAATAATATTTTAAAGTAGTTGTTATTACTTACATATGTTTTGTCCTTTAAACATAATTTAGATTTCATTGTTATTAAAAATTTTTTCATCCACTTTATCATTAATTATATAAGGTAAATGTTTATTTGTATTGTCTATTCTCTTGATTTTTTTATATTTGTAAGTGTCAAGCAATGATTTGGTTTCTATTTTTTTAAAAATTTTGTGTATGGGAATTTCATCTACTTCATTTTCACTAATTTTTTCAATACTAAAATTTATATCATTATTTTTACAGTCATAATACTTTTTAAAAATTTCACCAAGTTATCTTATGGGCATATTTATATTTTTATCTTTAGATACTAAGATTATTTCAAATGATATTATGTTAACAAAAATTTCTTTTAATTTATATGTATTAATCATATGTTTATCAATATTTTTATTTATAAGATTTATATAATTACTTTTATGAATCAATTTGAGCCTTTTCAGCAAAGCATCTGGAGATTCAAACTCCTCATCTGTCGATATGGCTCTAACTAAGTTAAAGATATTATCAGGTAAATTAATAGATAATAGCATAGCCTCACATCTACTACTGAGCTTACTATCTTTAAAAAAACTCTCAGCTTAGCAATATAAGATTGCATGTTGCCGCTATACTCCGGAAAAGATAATATCATAATATTTATGTGTTTATTTTTTACAATATCTTTATTTTATAAATATTTTAGTGATTTTTAAATTAAAAATTTTAATTATTTTTCACATTTTCAAATTAATCATTTCTTACATGTTTTTAGAATGAAATAAACATAACATTCCAGAACTTTTTCATCTAATTGACTATGTTCCAGAAGCTAAATCATATCTAAAATTTGTCTCTGAAAAATATTATTGGGAATCTGTTTCATATTTATATAGTTACGATTTCCTCGAATATGTAGAGGAACTGCCACATATAGTAATCTAGTATATTATATTAAATTATAATTCTCATAAATAAAAAATCGACAATAAAAATAGCATATAATTACGATAATATGAATTCTTAAAATGATAAATGGTTCCTAGAAAAATAATAATGATTAAAAAAAATTCTTAAATTTTTTTGGAAATAAATATATCAATAAACTTATTTATTTTGAAAAGGTTTAAGATAAAGTAGCTTAGTTTAACAAATGACCTAAAATATATTTTAAGTCAAATTGAATAATGAATTCAAATAATATAGAATATAAAATAAATTAAAAAATAAAATGGGGTAATGAATACATGCAATTATTAGACATGTAAAATTAATTAATTATTTTAAAAGATTGAATTTTTTATTTAAAAAATGAATAGATAAAAATATACTATATAAATGTTTCTTGTGTTATTTATTAAAAAAATAAGCATTGCTTCTCCAACCCTTATTTATTAAACATATAAATACACGATACATTAGCATGATTTTATATTTATTTATTTTTAAAAAATAAACAAATTTATATATTTTTTTCAATGCTTATACTTTTTAACGTAATAAAAAAATTCGACCAAAATTTATCATATATGAGAATGATTTTTTTTCCTTCATTTATTTAAAAAAATAAGCAACATTAAATTTGTCCCAATATTCAGGGTTGGGCAGTATGGCGGATATTTGTATCTAAGATTTTTAAATTTTGGAAAGTATCTTGTATCCAGTATCTAAGATACATATTATTTAAAAGTATTTGTATCTTAACCAACTTTGTATTCAAAAAGATACAGATACTTTAAAAAAAATTTATATTGGTTAATTTAAATAGTATTAAAATTTAAAATGATATTATTTTAAGATTTAAATGAAAAATTTAACCAAAATTTAGATATTTTAAGATAATTTTTAATATATGACGTTGGTCGTCATATAGCGATTTGCTAACAATTAAAACTACCATATTTGAATCTTTTTATATCTGTCTATTTTAAAATTATGGAAGAAGAAAATAGAATAATATGTTTATCTTCGTCTTCAGATGATTCTTCAACCGAAAATTATAACAATAAATTTAAACTAAGCATACTTAATGGCAAATTTTTTGAAGTACTTCAAGATGATCATAATAAAGAAATTCAACGTGACTTTGGTATTGACGAAAAAGTGTTACAGATAACGGCTCTAACTTTAAGAAAGCTTTCAAGGAGTTTGGATATTCTATGGAAGCTGTAGAGAATGACATTGACATCAATGATGATGAATGTATAGAATTCGAAATCATTTAAAGTATTATTTAATACTTCTTTAAAATTTATTATGATATTGTAAATTTTGTAAAAAATTTTATTCAAATAAAATTATTTATTTGTTTATTTAAGGGTCTAAAGAAGCCTCAATAACATTGCCTCAACACATTCGTTGTTTGTGCCATAGGATAAAATTGCCACAACAGATGTCGAGAGAGCTATTAAGGATTCTCCTAACATTTCTAAAATTCATCATCCTGCAATAGCTAAATGTGCTAAGCTATGGAATGCAAATAATAGGCCTAAAACTGCAGAACTTATCAAAGCAGTTTTAGGAAAACAATTAGTTACACCTTGTTGCACTAGATGGAATAGTTTGTATGATAGTCTTCATAGTTTATTAAAATTTAAAAGCGAACTTCCTAAATTATGTCAAAAATTAGAATTTCCTAAATTAAGAGATATTGAAATTCAATATTTAGAAGAATATTGCAATATAATGGCCCCATTGGCCATAGCGATTGACAAAATACAGAGTGAAATCAACTGCTATTATGGAGAATCAGCTCCAATTTTAAATGTCGTTAAAATAAAATTACAAATTTAATTCAAACCAATCTACAATTTTGCAAACCATTAGCTGTTGCCATAGAAAATTATTTAAATTAAAGATTTAAAAATATATATGATTTTGATAACAATGTTAAAAGTGCATTTTTGGCAACTATTTCTCCTCCCTATTTTAAAAATCGTTGGATTGATGGTGAAAAAGAAAAAAAATACCTTCAGGATTTGTTATTACATGAAGTTTTAATTGTTTTTAAAAATAATATTGAAATTAATACTTCAACAAAATCTTCAATTGATGAAGATGATGATTACTTTTGCCTTAAAAGTACCACATCCAATTCTAATAATTCAATAAATGATATTGAAATAGAGGTACTAAATTTTATGAAAGATGACATGCGGAGTATAATATGTTAAATAGTTATAAATATATAAAAGAAATATTTATTAAATATAACACAATATTACCCTCCTCAGCCCCCGTTGAAAGATTATTTAGTTTTGCTAATATGGTTAATAGATCAAATCGTCAAAGATTGAACGATAAATCATTTGAAAAATTAATAATATTAAAAAACAATGCTGATTTATGATGCTGATTTATTATTATTTACTAATTATATAATTATTAAATGGAATATCGCATTATCTTTTATAATAAATTTGTTATTTTCAACAATTTATTTTAAATATTTTTTTATAAATTTATATTATAGATAAGAAATAAAGCTTTATACATTTTGATTTTGACTATTTAAAGTTAAAAAAGTATCTTGTATCTTAGATGCTTTTTTTTAAAAAAAATACGAGTATCTTGTATCTTATTGAAATTTTTCTAAAGTATCTAGTATCTTGTATCTTAAATACAAAATTTTATAAAGTATCTGTATTCGAATACAATTTTCTGAAAATTTGCCCAACCCTGCCAATATTTTTTTTTTAACTTAGTAAAAATAATATATATCTTTTTAGTAGAAATAATATTGGTAAATGTAACATAGTAAAAATAATTTTAATTTATTTTATCGTTATATAAAAGTGAACCGTTTTTTTAAATAAAATTATTCACATCTTAAATAAAGAAAAAAAAATAATTTTTAAGAATTTTTATAGCAAAATTCAAGGTGTGCAATGTTTACCCTACTTTTATGGACGCTTTGTCACTAATATCAAATCTACTATAGGATTTTGTAACTAAATAAATGTTAAATTAAATACCCCACCTATTTAAGGTATATATTTAGAAATTCCACTTTTATTTAATGCATATCTATATATGTGTTTTATCTTTTAATTTCCTCAAATATTTAATTTTTAAATATAATAATGATTAAATAGAAATTGCGATGCACAATTACAAAATATTTTATTTAAAAAATATATAATTATGCATTATGAACAATGATATGAAAAGTATCATGATTAAAATTACTAAAGGTATAAAATTAGCTAAGTAGTTTTTTAAAAAACCTTGTAAAACTGTGCGATAATTAGCAAGAGTCTAAACATTTTTAGGAACCGAAAAGCCTTATAAAAAACAATTCTTAAAGAAAAAATTTTTAAATATGGGGCTGAATGAGGTGGCTTTCCACTATGTTAGAGATACTATTTTTTTTAAATATTAGTGTATAATTAGCGAAGGTAGGATTTAATTTTTTTAAAAATCCCGATTAGGGTCGATTTTTAATAACGACCTGATTAAGATTTTAGGAAGGATATTATGTAAGCCTTGAGATTTCGCAAATAGAGTTCCAAATATAAAAATCACCCAAATAGGGCTTTTTAACATTAGTGGGATTCAATGATTCCAATAATAGTAAAAAAAAATTTAGTTTTTTCGATATTCAAATATTTTTTTAAAACTCCCATTAATATTTAATATTTTCTGAATCATAAAATTAGTGTCAGGATTTTAAGTGGTATTATTTTAGACAAAACAGGAATTGTTTTTTCGAAGAGCTAAACATGATTCTATATTTTTTTTAAATTTATGCATAATTAGTGAGCATTCTTATGATTCTTATCTTCATCAAAAAATGGTATTTTCTTGGATATTTTAATAATTTATGATTTTTTTTACAAGCTAACAAACATTTTCTGACGCATTTTGAAGAGATAAACATGATTCTCTATTATTTTTTTTAAATCGTGCATGATTAGCAAGGATTTGTAGTTTATTGGTCAATGTCTAACCCCAAAATATTAATATATTTTAAAGAAGAACTAAATAATATATTAATAGCTTAACCCTTTCATGCACAGAAATTTTTTCGATTTTGCAGATAAAGTATTTTATTGAAAATATATAGCAAAAATCTCATAATTTTATTTTTAAAAATAAAAAAATATTTCTTAAGTTATTATAAAATTAAAGTGGGACACCTGTATCCAATTGTGCAAATAAACATAATTATGATTTATTATTAATGATATGGTTTATAACTTACGACTTTAAGAGAGACATAACACCACAAATTTGAACTATGTTCATCGAAAACTGTTGAAGAATGTATTTTTTTGCTCTGATCTTATAGGTAAATGTGAGGCAGTACATCTCCTAATCTCCAAAGGCACTTTTTTTTATTAGATGGTTTGGATGGCTGGGCTCTGGGTCGAAGTTAATAAAGGTTACGAAATCAAAAGATTCGCTTTGAGGAATCAGACTAATATCGTTTGTATGGATATGTATAAGCAGCCATTCAAACCTATTTACAGGCATAATGTGGCTATATAATAATCGTGGAAATCTGGCATTATGCTTTATTAGGTAAGCTGGTTAAAAAAATTATTCCAATTTCATAAATATAGACAGATTTAAATCTATAAAATAATAATAACTATAAGTACTAAGGATATTATATAAACGTTTCATACTTTGGGCTGTATATAAATTAGTTTGAAATGTCAAAAATTCTGGAAGAAAATAAGTTACAAAAAATTGAATTTTTTTTATGAAGTTTCAGCATCTCCGATATTTTTTGGCCCATAAGTAAGTCAATAGGCGTTGTAGTAATCGTGGATCATTTTTCCAATATGTGGGAGTATATAATAAATTTAAAAGGGGCATATTATCTTCTGAGGCAGAGGATTCATCAATATAATCTGAGCTAATATCCTTTCATCAGTTGACAGCATTCTGCATAGTGGGATTCATTGAAACGCATTATAAATAATTTAATTATTAAAAACAGGATGCATTATATATAAAAATAATGAACTATATATAAATCAATGTTGAAGTACATATACAAAATGTTACGTATACAAAATGTTACAATAACAAATTGAATAATTTAAAATATCCGTTTGTGAAAAATCTGGAAAAACATACAAAATGTGAATAAAAATCTCAATATGATGAATTTTAAGGAAAATTTTTTTAAAAAAATAATGTGTTAAGCATAAGTAAAAATAAAATAAATACATGTTAAAGGTGGGTTAAATTTTGTACTATTATGCAAAATTTGAAAAAAGTGGTGGGTTATATTTTAGCTTAGCATGAATGAAATGGTTAAACAATTTTCCACATGTGAAAGAATTTTTTCAATGTGAAATACATTACCAGTTAAAAAGCAATTTATTATTGGTTCTACAATGAATTGATTTAACTGGCAAAACTTAAATATTTTGGATTAACAAAGAAATAAAAATTATATTCAATGGTATTTTTAAGAGTTGTAAGAAACTTTTCAAATGTATTTAGATACTGATACGTATTTAAAAATGGTTACAAATATGTTGTCTGAAACGGATCTATATCTAGACACAATCTTTCCCAATGTATATTTTTCATATAATTATGTAAGGTCTGCTTTAGGCTTAGTTTAGGATTCTGAGCTAAAAATTTATTAAAAATTTTTATTATTAGAGCACTCTGTTTATCTATAGAGACATTTTTAACCAAACGAGTCTTTCTAATAGGGCACTTGATGGCATAGAGTTGTGTTATATTTTCAAAATAACAATTTTATATTGAGATAAAATTCAAATAGACTAAAATTCCAACTCTCATTTTTAAGAAAATGTTCAAAATTTGATGAGTGTCAAAATAATATCATTAGTCAAATCCACTGAGGTAGTATTGTTAAACAACTCAATTTATAAATGGCCAACCCAATATTTTAACCAAAAATGCAAGCCTGAAGATTTTATTCATAGATGAAAAAAGAAAAATGGCTTGACATCTAGTAACAAAATTTAGAGGCTTGTGTAATACTATTTTGACTAAAATCTTAATCAAAAAATTAGTTAAATACTTTGAGGATTAGAAAAAATCTGATATAATTTGTTAATTTTTTAGGATATTTTACAATTAGTTTTAAACATTATGTTCATCAACTAAAACTTAAAATTTAGCAAGCTATGATTATCAATTGCGTAAAATAAAAATATTTTGTATTTTAATAATGAAATAAACTTAATCTTGATATTTAATGAATTGAATTCAATATAACATAAATAATATAACTGATAATTATTGATTTGTTTTTAAGCTTATTAAATATTGTATAAAAAATATAGTTCCTTTTAAGTTAAATGTTGAACCAAATATTTAGTATTTTATTTACTGTTAGCCATCTATAACATGGCTTATAGCTAAGATATAGCTACGAAAAATCTGCAGCAACTAAAAAAAATATCTAAATTAAATTGTAGATAAAAATGCAACATTTTTTTAGAGGTAATTTGCATTAAGCTATGCCTATCCTTGATACATAGCGTGTATTATAAATGACACATTATAAGGAGACAATTATTCTATATTTTATTAAAATATATAAGGGCTTTTAACATTTAAAAATAATGAGCAATTAGAGCATGGTATTAATAAATTTGATTGTTTGTTTTGTTCACTAAAATCTAAAAAGTAACTTTCACCACATCGGCATGGGTATGTATAATCATCACCATTTCTTGTGAGCTCATCTATATTAACCTAAATAATGTATAATTTTTATTGCAATATAAATCATTACTTCATCATATATATAAGTAGATTTGTTTTTTTCTATAGATATATCATATAAATGTTTAGATGTCTTATTTTTTAATATTTCCCATGCTTTTATAATTTGATAATATTTATCATGGTTACCATCTTTTTCATTTAAAATTTTTTTTTATCCAATATAAATTTTATTATACTTGATTTGTCAGGATGATATATTTTTATTAATCTGTGATAAGCATTTTTAATATCGTTTTCTGTTATATTTTGATGATAAATTTCTAATATTTCATACAAATTACAATTAAAATCTAATGACACCATTTATTAAAATTATCTTCAATTGATCAATTTCTATTAGATACTTTTACAAATGGGCTTTAATTAACATCATTATGAAAATTTTAAAACATTTATAGTGGGTAATGATGTATAGCGTTGAACGTTATTGATTTTTTACGGATAGACAGTCGTTGAATCGAATGTAGTTTTCAATGATGCTAATGCCTACTTCGTAGAAAGAGTCTTTTGTGAGATACCAACTCCTTGAAGAAATTTGAATATTCAATTGAGCTCATTTTTTGTTTAAGTTAGGTGTTTCTTTGGTGAGACAATAGATGCTTCTTTCCAGTGAATCAGGTGAGTCCAAAATGAGAGGTATTTAGGCTGATTCAAAGGCTGGTTAAACCCGGGTTCAGAATTTATTTATTGAACTCGGTTAGTTTTAAATTTATTTTAAACCAGATTATTGGATATGACCTCATAAAAATTTTGAAATTATTTAGTTTTCCTAATGTTTTCTTAATTATATCAAACCCCATACTTATTTATTATTCATAAGGACTACTAATTTTTCATATTGGATATTTAAAAAATAATCCTCGTGACCAGATAAAATAATTTTGATCTGCTATGAATTCTTTAAATTCTTATTGGATCAAGTTGGACGTGAATAAAATAAGCACTATGAATGATTCCAATTTATAATAAAATTTTCAGCCAAAGCATCAGGTGTGGCCGGGAAAAAAAATTTCGCGTAAACTCTTCTAGCTCAAAATCTATTATAATTTAAGCTTTTATTCTAATTTAATTTTTAGATTATTTGTTCTATTAAACCCAATCCTTAGCCCCCCTTTTTTACAAAATAAAATCATAGCCAGTCGTGCCACTTCTCCCTTTCTTTGCATTTATTTTTATCAATGTTTCTGACATAAGCATTAGTAATACATTATAATTTGTAATCCGTTCCATTTTTTCTTTATTTAATAATTTACCATAATTCTTAATTACCCGATTTTTGACGGGCAACCCTGCTTGCTATATATACTTTTAATCAATTTTATATATTTTGCCATAAGATGGCTCTAAAATAATTTTCATCTAATAAAAAAAACATCATTTACTAAACAAGGTAATCTCATATGGATAATTGAACGGTATAGAGACACTTTATTTTTGAAATAGGAATAAATCTAATATTGATAATCTTAAATATTTTGAAAGGATTTGAACATTTAATATTTTATAATATATTCTTTCATTTATCCAATTTTTAAATAAAATAAGTAAAATTAATTATATTCCTCATTTAAAATTTAAATAAAGGTTTTTAAAAGCATCTAAATAAATACGGTATTTTAGATCAACTCAAAACAATCGCCATTGCAGCGCCGACCTTTAATGGCTAGTGCACTTTAACCAGAATTAAATGTCGTGCTTTGAGTGAAAATCTTATTAAGTTGAAGTTGTTCAAAATTTTAATCAATCTTGCCTAATCTTTAGCCTTAATATATAATCGCTTTTTAGGGGTATAAATTCTTTCCAGTTACCCAGATTTTATTAAGTTCATGTTAGTTTGAAGAATTATTTATTTTTAAAAAAGGCATATCATTACTGACTGAATAAAATATCTTTAAATGAACAGTTTGATAGTAACAAAAACGACATATAGTGAATATGAAAGTTATTAAAGATTTACACCATCCTATACACTAATCATGGCTTAAAATAACGCAATAGAGTAAAAATTCCCTAAATCAGATTTAAACTTACTTTTGCCTGAACAGAACTGATAGAATATCTTTAACCGAAACCAAAAAAGGACGCATTTGAAAGAAAGAACCAGTCCACAAAGATTAGAATTTTTATCCCATTTTAATTCAAATATCAAATATATTTACCCCAGGGCTGAGTCGGAATCCTCGAGATTATATCCAATCCCTTAGCTGACCCTTTTTTTAAAATTCGGGGTTCAAAAATTATTTTTGAATTTATTTTCAATATTTTTTTTAAAGAGAATATTGACAGAGTGTAGCATATTGTTAAAATTTTAATTAGTAAGCTGTTAGAATCCTAAAATTAGTGTGAAGACCTATGGCGATATAGATGCACAACAGGATGGCGCTCAATTTATGATATGCTAAATCGATTGTCTAAATTAAAGGATTTTTATTATGGATTATAAAATTTGATTTACTAATTCTAGGTGAATTTAATTATTAATTTTTACGAACTGCCTATGGATCCTTAATAAAAATACTTAAATAAAATACTTAAAATACTTAAATAAAGTAAATAGGAGACGCAAATCTTTCCTTTTATTTTAATTATATATAAACTACAATAACTATATCAAATTTACAAATTTTTAAATTCCAAAAAAAAAAACTAAATTTTTTAAAAATAATAATAATAATTTTTTTAACAAAAGAAATAAAATGTGATTTTTTAACATATATATTTTTTTCACGTCAATATATATATATATATAAATATAAATAATAAACTATAATAATACAACAATAATTTTAAATGAATTAATTTTTTATAGATGGCATTGCAAAATTTCAAGTAGATCTACACTGCCCGTCCAAAATTTAGGCCAGTGGGACCGTTCGAAATTTTTTTTAAAATTGTAATGGGCAGTGCAAAATACTTAATGGCAGGGGTCGGGCAATTCGTGCATGAAAAAATTTAGGGTCATGCAGTACAATTTATATATAAAACTTTAGGCAGTGCCTCGTTCCGGGAATTAAAGTTTTAATATATTTTTTTGTAGAAGTAAGATATTACTTTGATTAATACTGGTTGAGAACAATATGCCAATTTCTTTGTATTTTAAGAGCTGTATAACTAAAACAATAACTCTATAAAAAGTAAATTCACATCAATTTATTTATAATAAAATACAATATACAATGCACTATCAGATACAATCACAATTGATTTATAAAAAGGTTGGTATAGATAATGATAGCGATATAGGAGAGATATTAGAGCCTTAATGGACATTGGAAAAATAAGCTATTAAAGATGTGATGGCCGGAAAATTCGTACAATAATATTTACCAAGCAAGACAGGCCCTGACTTTTAGGAAGGTTTTTCGGATTGTAGCTATCCAGATCTGGCTTTGCAAACCTCAAACATTCTTTTCTTTTAAACTAACTATATAACTGTAAATTCGGTCAACCTGTCTCAGATTATAACCTCTTTTTTTCTAAATTAATAAAATTAAATTTATTAAAATAAACATTTGAGAAGAATGATTAACAGGTCACTATTGCTGTTAATTTCGGTGTGATCGTGAATTTTATTTTTGATCGCCAATGAGTATAAGAGCACAAGGATGATAATAAAGATTGAAATTCTATCATAATAATAATGAAGTATATTTGATTTATAACCAGAGTTTGAAATGCCCTTCAGAATATAACAATCTTCAAGGATTTGTGATCTCTGAAAAATATTTTAAAAATGCTGATAGATGATTGTGATCAAATTTTACCTAAAATTCCACTTTTTTTGTAAGAAATCTTTTATAAGTTAATATTTTGTGATTTTTATATTCATAAAATCTTCCATGATAAAATAACAAATTTTTTTGATTAAAAAAATTTTTACTCTATAATCTGGACAAAAATCAAAAAATTTACGAAATTATTTTTTAAAATTTTGATTAAAAACCTTCGAAAATATAAAATATATAAAACATTCTGTCAAACCCCATTCCAAGTTTTTTTTTCAGAGCTCCGAGTTTTTATATTGAACTGTTGAAAATCCTCGTTAACGAATAAGGATAATAAACAATTTCATGGTTAATTTTTGAACAATTTTCATTAAAAATAAACATTAGATAAACAAAATAATTTTAAATTTTTTTCCGGTCCAAGACTAATCGTCAGGGTTCGAATAACCCAGTTGGAGAAAATGACTCTCAGAGTCTGATCGATAGGAGTTTGGTCAAATCGGGTTCGGACTCGTATTTCGGTGCAAGATTTAATATAAAAATATATTACATTTTTTTGGCTCAAACCGTTACCTTTTTCGGATCATTTAACATGTGTTATATTATTTATTTATCTATTTTTTTTAATCAAATTTTTCTTTACAATAAAAGCTCAAACTCACAAAAGCATAAATAAACGCTCAGGCAACTATGAATCTAATATTATTTTTTTTGAATACTTGAACTTTTGTAACATGAAAATTTTATTCACATGTTTGGCTCCTGATAATTCAGACGAACTTTTTAGTTTAAGTGTATATAGTCCATAAGCAATGCCATTTAAATATTTTTTTGATGATATTAAATAAGATGGGCTATAAGTTTTGGTTCTTATGGGTTTCCCCAAATTAGACAAGTGTTTTCAAATTGGGATTTTTTTTTAAAAAAAAATCAAAAATCGATAAATATAATATTTTTTTAAAAAAAATTGAAAAAACATCGCATCGCATCGCATTAAATTAAATTATTATATTTTCTATCTCTCTTATTATATTCCAAATTTAATTTTAGAAATTGTAAAACTTTTTAATATGATAAAAATGTTGGTTTAAAATTTTTAAATATTATTAAAATAATTTTAAAAATTTCAAGATCAAAAATTGAATATTTTAAAATATTTAAATATTTTTTTAAAACTATTTTAAATTTATTTTATATAATTTTATTTATTTATCACAATGATAATAAAAATATAATCAAATATTAAATTGCATAAAAAAGTTGTGGTATAAATTATCAAAATTAGTGACAAACACTAGAGGCAAAAATGTAATTCTGCTATATTTTTTGGAACGACTTTCCCAGAATCTTTTAAATTCTTTGAATTCTAATTAGCACATTAAAATCTGAGGTAAATATTACGAAATATTATTATATATTTTTTAAAAACGTATCTAATTTCTAGTAACTCTATGCTATTTTTTTTAGCAGTTGTTCAGATTTTTTCTATATAGTTTTATACATAATTTTTCATAATTAATATTATTATCTATTTAATTATTTTTGATAAAATCCAGTATAAAAATGGATAGCTTTTACCATGTAGGTCTATACTAAAAAGGTATAGTTAGGTAATGGCTATCGGCTAACTCAGATTCTACATCTATGAGGCATAGAAA